GCTTCTTTAAGGAACACGGGGGCGCTGGTTTAACATTTGTGTTCTTTCCAACTTTGTTGTGTCAAAATTCTCAAACGTCGTAGCGATTATATTGTGTTCAAGCTTTGTTGTTATCCATATTGTGCGTGATATTGTATATTCATAATGCCAAGACAAGGTTCAAGAACAAGGAAATGGAAATTTCAGGGCAACAGGTTTAATAATCCTGCGAAGAAAGCGTGTATTGGGAGTGAAACCGAAACAGATTCTGCTGGGCAATCGACTGAGTCATGTCAAAATACTTCTGCTTCTGCTCGCAAAATTGGCAATCAGAATACTCAACATGAATATCCCCCAGTCAAATCTACGGTAACAGGGTACCGTTTTGTTGATATGGAGCTGCTGAGCGATGTATTTCAGCAAGTGATGTGTAAAGAATGTGGTTCTTCAGCTTGTCTTGTGTTGGAAGACAACCCACGTGAACAAAAAGGTAGTGCTTCCCATCTTCGTGTACGTTGTGAAACATGTGGATGGGTTTATACCTTTCACACCTCCAAGAAAGTCCAGCATTCTTTTGACATCAACAAGCGATTGGTTTATGCCATGAGAAGTATGGGACAAGGACATTCATGGACCCCCTTAACTATACTAGCTCGTCGCTGAATGGCTATGTGTATAAACGTTAATATACTAATTTGCTTCGCAGATACAAAAATGAAAGATATACAGCGGCACTGTATTGATATATGTTCATACCTGGAAGGTTTTTTTTTCATTATAAAAGTGTATTTTCCCAATTTAGATAAGGTGGGTGGGTCATGAAATAAAATTGGTAAGATTGGATGGGCTTCGAAATTTTTATCTACATCCTAAGATGGGTCACCAAACGTATTGGAAAAATTTGTGATTTACCTCCAGTCCACCCTAGCAGTTACTTTATGACCAGTCCCTTATATCTATTTATACGAATACGTCACTGTACAGCATTAGTGACAATTGGTGGCAGACTGTTATCCTTCCACCACGGGGGAAGAAACAGTCTGCGCGCAGACTATGAAAATGTCTGAAGTGACATAAATCAGTATGAGATGAAGCGAACTAAAAGTAAAAACGCACTTGTCCATACTGTTTATTAATTTTATTGTTTTCATATTTGTTGTCTTTGATACAATGACAAAATTTACCTTGTATTTTTTTTGAAACACTGTCCAAACTGTGTTAGTATTCTATACAAAAAGTGTTCTATGGTAGCTTTACTAACCAAGGGAACATTTTTTAAAATTGTTTTTTTTTTGCAAATGTTTCGGACTTTGTACCTTGATCTCACGTGACCTTTTTTCCCATTTTTGCAAACGTACAATGCAATTTAATAAAAAAACTTACTGGCGCCAACCGTTCGGGCAGTACGCGAAAATATCCAACCTCGGTTTTGCGGTATATTGACCTGACTGCTATCGCTTGGTCAATACAGCGAGACCTCGATTGGATGTTTTCCCGTACTGCCCTCACTCTCGGTCAGTAAGTTATTAGTACTAACTTCTATAGAACCACGATTTGATATACAGCAGAGTAATATGTATCTTAGTATTGAATATCTCTTTTCTTTCTGCCTTTATACGTGCCATAGTGAATTTCTCGTATGGATGGTCGAGAAGCCATATGTTGAAATAATATTACACTAGCTAATGCACGTCGACAAGAAAAATATTGTAATAGACGTGTGCCAGACTTTTGTACACAGCCAATTATTAGTTGGCATCAAAAGTACTTTCTAAGAAATGAATTTTAAAGCTAAGATGATCAATGGTCCACTGCAATTGTCCATTGAAATCATAAAATTGGTTCTACTGCTCCATTTCTACTAATTTTAATATAAAAATTATTTCTTAAATTAATGTTGCGATGCCTACAAATAATTAGCTGTGTGTGGAAGTCAGGAAAGATAGCCGATAGGGGTATTATATTGTTTTCTGGACAACTTGTTTTCTGCACCAACCTAACAAAATTACCTCGTCAAAACCCGCATTTTATTGGAGAAAAAAGCAATGTTGGTTCTTACCTAATCAACTCAAGAAATGTGCTAAACTTCTGATGCAAACCAGTTCTGAGGTAGCGCACGAACCTAATATATTAACCTTCCAATACAGCGGTCTGTACGCCAAATGCAGTGCTGGCATGTGAAGTGTGACGAGACTGAACAATATTATTACTATGCATGCTTGCTATGCGTGATTGGTTAAACGTGCTTGCTATGTATGATAGGTTAGTGGCACTGCCATTGGATAATTGAACGCGTAAGCAATTATGTAAATAATTTTCCGAACATAATACTTTCTACATTGTTTATCAAACTTTAGATCCTTCAGAATTTCGGTGAAATCTAGCGACGGGTGGCTGAAAACTCCTAATGAGCTAATCGTAAATTTACAAATTTTACTGTTTCATAATTTTTGAACTGTTCGTTAATTAGATCTTGATATTTTTGTCTTTTTCGAGTTGCACTATTAGATTAGATTCAAATCCGACGGTAAGTTCAAGTATATAAATACATCAATTTTCAAGTGTTATCAAAAGATTAGGGCGCAATTCATCTTCGGTGAGAACAGATGGATTGGTGTAGCCAGGAAGGTCAGCATAAAAGTTACAATGGTTCACAAATTTAAGTATGGATGCTATGAAGTTAAGCACGTGAAACGTTCTTCATTTAGGTAGGTCTTGCATCCAGCGACGACGCGAAAAAGCGATTCTGGATTCAAACAAAACGAACATTCGGATGTTTGTGATATTCCCCATTTCAGAAGGTGTACATTACATTTATGTACTGGATAGTGAAGTTAAATATATTCTTGGGAAGTTTACTCCGAACGGAAGACCATATAGAGTTGAATGAGAGTGTAGAATGTTTAATGATATTGGAGAAAATGAGCCTTTTGAAATGAGGTGGTGTTGAAGCTTGTCTTCATGTTGTTTCCTGATGGTGTTTAATACGTCCTTGGTGTTTTTGTATTTGTCATATTGTACATTTTTGTGATTGCTGGTATCCTTCCAAAGGTTATTGATCGCTTCATTTGGCGACGACTTTACGGCTTTCCGAGAAACAGTTTGGCATTGAAAGAATTTGGTTGACGGTAGAATGATATTTAATCCAAAATTATTGTGGGGAAGTAGGACGTTATTGATATAAGGGTTGCAGAAATAGGAAGTTCAAGCCATTTTCGGATATACGTGGACGCGATACTATCTAGTTTATCGTTGACCCAGGTTTTGTCTATGTCAGAAACAGCGAAGTGCCAGGAGATTTTGGAAAGCTCATAACGACTGTATAAGAGACTTTTGTTTTTCGGATATAATGGTAGGTCATCAATTTCATTCAGGATATTAGTAAGTGTGTCATATACTTCAGATTTGTGGTCTTCGTCGGACATGTTGAAGTCAAAATAACGACCTAAGTAGCGAAATGATTTACCAAGTTCAACACGTGGTACAAGACAGTTATTTACAAATAGTTTTTGGAGATATTGAATGGATTTGGTTAATTGTTTCCTAATGCCAAATGTTGAACATTTGTCTACACGTATTATCATTTCAGCCCACTGACACCAGATTGTAAAGCGATTGAGGAGCATTTGGTTTTCTTTTTCTTGGCCGCTAACAACAGCCGCGTCGTCGGCAAATTGGAACCAATAAAGAGGATTTAATGGGGTACCGTTTTTGCTGGATTTCCAAAATCCAAGTTGACGGTATTTTTCCGATTTAATATGTTGGATAAAGGTATTGAAAGACATGTTGAATAAAAGAGGACTGAGACAATCGCTTGAAGGACGTCACGACCGACTGTAATGAAGGAAGTATTGAACTGTTCAGTTATTATGGAAGTTTGGAAATCAGTATAAAGGCTACTGACAAGATTCTTTATGTGATCGGGAATGTGGTGATATTCAAGGACTTCATAAATAAGGTTATGATGGACTTCGCCGAATGCATTTTTGAGATCTAATAGTGTTATTATAAGTGATCGTTGTTTTACTTGCGCTTTATTAATGATATGTGCCAACTGTGCTGTGTGTTCTAGTGTTCCTGAGAGTTTTGGAGTGAAACCTTTCGGTATGTTCTGTTCAATGTAATTGTTTTCAGCAAGAAACTGAAATGTCCTGTTGCGAAGACATGATGTGAAAACTTTGAGTGGGACATATTCGAGAGTAATGGGTCGAAAGTTCGCGGGGTTTGCTGTTTCTCCTTTCTTATGAATTAGAATCGTGCATGCTTTCTTCCATTCAGATGGGACAACACCG